ACGTCGGCTGAGAGAGAGAGAGAGCGAGAAAAAAATTCAGGTCCACCGGCTCACTTGAGATAAATCACAAAGGAGCTAGCACACGCGCGGATGCACCGAGCTGCAATGAAAGTGCCATTTGGTGCGCGCGACTTTGCTCGAGCTTATATACGTGTACGTACGACAAGGCCCCCCAACCCCCCCAAGAGGCTGCTGCTGCTCATGCCGTGCTCCGAATATAATTTATCGCCGACGCGCTGCGCAAACAGTCGCGAGATTATGTATACCTATATACGCTGCCAAACAGCAGCAGCAGCAGCATCAGCTTATATGTAGGCCGCCGTGCGAGCTGTTGCCGCTGCTGTTGAACACGTTTAGATAGCCCAGACGAAACAAGCCGATTATATGGACGAAAAACTATTTCGTGCGAGGCGGCCAGGGAAAAAAGTGCGCCCGACTCGTGCCTTGCTCGCGCGCGCAAGATACGCGTTCCAGACGATCCGATGAGCGCGCGTAAATTAATAGCTTACGCCTCATCGAAAGCACCTTAATGAATTGCAGCTATATATAGTCACAGCTGCAACTTACGATAGTAGGATGAAAAAAAATTTAATAATCTGCAATGCGAAAGGGAATTCGATACTCGGCGAGTCTCGGGTCATCAGTGGCAGAACGAACTAGCGACGAGCTCTACTACGCTCGAGAAGCAAAAAAAGGACGAGAAGAATAAGACGCGGAACAGCCGCACAAGTGTCGTCATTAGCGATACAAAAGAAGCCCCTTCCGCAGCAGCAGCCCTGCAACCGATTGCCCAAAGGACAAATTGATAATAGAGACTACACAGCTGAGTTTAATGTTTACGTACTCCATTATATGCTCTGGTATATGTATATGGCAACGGACTGCTGCTGCGGCAACCGCCACTACTATACGTAATACAAGTGGAACCGAGCTACTACTACTACTCTCTCCTCGGGCTTTGTCATGCAGCCGAGTTGCGTATTTTTCTCTCTCTGCGCGCACGATTTCGGCTTCGAGTGCCCTTCGAGTGTGTATAGGTACGCGAGAGCGATTCTTATCGACGCGCCGCATATCGCTGCACACGCTATTTACGCACTCTCTCTCTTTCTATTCAGTTGCCGGGCTCTTTTCGAGTGTGATAGCTGTTTCCTTCGCATATAAATAAGAGTTTATTTCGTATTATATACGTATCGTATACACGCCACATGTACGCGTCATTTTTGAGTCTCTCGCTCCATTATAAATACGCCGCGCAACTCGCGAAATAACTAATGAGTGTATAGCGAGCATCCGAAGCAGAGAAAAGTTTTTTTGTCGATCGACTACTCCTGGCCCCACGAGAGGCTACCGAGGCATTTTACTCGACTCTATAGCTCCGCGCCAGCGTGTCTCTTTATATTTCCGATAGCCCGGCTAATGTCTTATTGAGAATCGGCTTCGTACTTTAATTTTAGACGACGACATGCGACGCGTTGAGCGGGCTTTTTTTCTACTTTATCTACGCTTACCCGTCGTAAAGTACACAAATTTCACCCAAATTGGACTTTAATATTTCCTCCTTTTGTGTGGATCTGGCTTTCCATACGTAGCTCGTTAATTTTGCTATACGTACATTTTGTCGCGACAAACTTTCGATTGGGCGAAAAAAATATACACTATATTATAGCGGGTGTTGAAACGAGGTGAGTGTTTTCATGGAACGCATTTCATTTCGCTGCAAGTATGCCTTATGAAACGGTATGTGCTGCACGTAAAACGCCTCGTATACCGGCTTAATTTACGAGACACATCAACTCGCCAGAGAAGTAAGAATTTTCTCATCATACGAGTAATAACCTTTATTATTAGCCTTGCAACGACGAATTTTCAGCGTGAACCTCTTCCAATCAGTGAGGCACTCAATTATATGAAAAAAGAAAAGAAAAGTAAACAGTAGCGAGAAATTGGTTCGACTTTTGACACGAGATCTGTTTAATCATATCCACACTTGAGATCAATAACGACTATTTACAAAAAAAAAGAAGGGAAAATCATCAATCAGACAAGAGCATACGAGCCAGCTTGAAAGCTCTAAATTTAGATAGGCGATGAGCGATTTATATGAATTAGGGCAACTGCTGAAACACTCGTTCTCTTTCAACGAGCGACAAATTGAAGATTAACACTCGTTTACATGACTGGATCTATTTCTCCGCTTTGTTTTCCTTGGTTTCTGCTAGATCCATTATTTTTCACAAATCGATGTTACTCTGTCTTAATTGCCTCGAACAAAAGTTGAATTTACGCACGGGCTAAACTTTCTCGATAAATCTCGCTGCGTAAATTTGACTATTTGTACACGGAAAAAGAGAGGAGTTGACTTTTTCCTTTTTTTCCAACTCGTTGTTTATCGATTCATAATCCGTTGGAGCGAAAAAATTCTACGTGTCGGAGAAAATTTATCAGTTTTTTTTTGCTCTACCCCAAGGAGTCTATATACGCACGCTTAACTTTACACTCTTTACTCTCTTTCTGTCTCTCTCTCTCTCTCTCTCTTTTCTTAAAGTTGGAACAAAACTTGCGGCTGTCACCCATCTGAAAGTTAAGTATAAACTAAAGCAACGGGAGCATTTCGTTGGGCCGATAAGATTGTTAAAGAAATAAGAACATAGAAACTTTCGAGAGATATATTTTTGCTAGGAAAAAGTTAGGAACGATTATAAGGCAGCAAGCAGCTAGCTGGCTAGCACAAAAAAACGACAAAAAAAGAAGAAGAAATAAAATCAGATTTAAGATTGAATCAATAAGCTTTGAATGACATTGAGTCAGTATATTGTTAGAGACGAGCGATCGATTATATAATTTCGTATGGAGAATTAGCATCTTCAAAGCTTCCTATCTCGTGGCATGTATAATAAGCGAAAAAGGCTCCTCTTTTCCATCCGAGTCAGAGTATATGGTATTACGGCATGATCTGCGAGAATATCGTATAGATATAGAGATGTGCGCGTCCGGCTCTGTCTCCCTTGGAGCGCGATCGCATCCATCACATGCAGACAATTGGCCGGTCAGACCACTCGATCATGCCCGCTACCTATATTGGTAATCGGCCGTCGAGGACTCGACAGGCCGTGTGCTCGAGCTGCCAAAGATTCCCGCGAATCCCGCCGAAAAAATCGTTGCGCGCCGGATTGAAAGCTTATACTCCACTGCTATATATATATGGTGTGGCGTACCTATACTGCGGCTATTCTAAGCGCATGTATATCGACACACAAGTCACGCATCTGTCTCGAAGGATTTTCTCTTTCTCCGTCGCTATGTGTTGCTGCGTGTGCCTCTATACGATATATAGTCCCTGAGACACGCCACCGTTATGGAGAATCCCTCATAGTTGGAATATATATCCGTGAAAAAGTCGCATACACGCATGGCATGTTTGCGCGCATTGATCGCTGCAGAGATTCGTGTTTGTTGCGCGCGCGACTAGATTAGCTACGGCTCGATTTCGCCTACTTCTCGAGTGCCTCTTTTTTTCGCTTTTTGCCAGTTATAGACTGTGCGGGGTCCCTTGAATGAATGTCTGCGTGTACGTATACAAACCAGACGGCGCAGGCTCACTGTGTACATTGCACCTGGCGTACGTCCGTACATATACACGTGTATGTACGTGTGTGTTTGTGTGTGCGGAATATACACGATGGAATGGCAAAAATGGCCCAAACTATTACAAAGGATTGAGTTTGCTCTTTGTAATGGATTTATACACATGTGTGTACTGTCACGGAATATGAATCGAACAATCGGAGCAATACAGTGGTCAGCCGCCAAAGGGGGCCCTGCGACCAGATCGACTAAATTTTCTCGGAAAATTGCGCGATTCGGCCATCGATTTCACTTGACTTTTCGAATTTAGTCGGTGCGCACCCAATCTTGGGGCGAGGACAAGTTTTTAATTAAATTTTATTTTATCAAAAGTATAGTCTCTCTCGTCTTGTCGATTCTCTCAGCTCTTGCACACTATCGGAACTCGCTGGAAGGAATTGAATAATAGAACACACGGCTACGCTAGCTGTGTGCCGCGAGAAAGTAAACACAGAGCGGCGCCTCTCTATATATATCTATAGATAAGGTATATAGGCGCAGGACTCGAAGGAAGGATGGAAATCCATTTCAAAGAAAGTAAAACAAAAGAATGGGAAATTCAAACAGCTCTCCCGATTTTGCAGCGCGCAAAGTGTCACACAGCTCTCTTTCTTTCTCTCTATTTTTGTATACGGTATATACACATAGAGGAACGACGAATTCGAGTAAATAAACTAGCCCTCGGCACGCAGCGCGTCATCAACTCGTTCATCTTTGAGCAGTCGAGGCGACGTCAAAGAATATTGAAAAAAGACTAGCAGAGAGTTAAATAATTCGCGGCAAAAGTGAGAGAGCAAGAGCCAGAGAGAGAGAGAGAGAGAGAGAGAGAGAGAGGAGGGATATGGGCAAGACAGCAATTACGCCCGAGAGTTCAATAACAAATACTCGACGCGCGAGCGCTTACCCATGTAGGTGCCCTTCTAACAGCCGCGCACCGAGTTGCCTGGCGTACTTTAAGGTAAAACCACTCGAGTCTGACAATTCAACACAAAAAAAAAAGAAGAAAAAAAAAGAAGAAGAAAAACATACACACATACAAGCATTGGAAAGAGAGTAAGAGACGTACGGCTTAGTAGGGTATAACATTTCCTTTATAGCCGCGTACACATACACATCTGTAGAGAGCAACGCGCGGAATAGCAGCATCGACGAGGGAGAGATGAGAGCGGAGCAAAGGCGGCATATATAGATATATACATATAATGCGCGTGTATGTGTATGCTGCAGAGCACATATAGTTTGGCAGGGAAGCTGCGCGCGAATCGCCGCCGCGTGCTGCACGGGCCACCGAGTGGGGGCTCGCTCTAGCAGCCTGCCTGTACCAGGAAGGAATACCACCGTGCTTTCAGTCAGTCGCGACGAGCCGTAACACAAGCGGCGCAAGTCCAAGTTTTTGCGCGAAAACGACACTCGTGCAGCTCCGAACTTTTTGCAGACGAGTATACACGCACACTCGCTCGCTGATCCGGTGCAATAGTCGCACGCCAAAGTTTTTATTTCAACAAGAGACGTTCGTTGCAGTGCTACTTTTATATAGATCCTTGTCGAACAATATATCGAATTGTGCCGGTGCGATGACGCTGATCCCCGACTAGTGTCAAGCCTGCCGCACTCACGTACGTACTGCACGCAAGCGAACTTGATACAGCCTCTCGCGCGAGCTGTGCGATCCGCAAAGGTGAGTAGTCATCTCTCTTCATCCGTACGTATGACGATTCGAGTGCAATTACGTCGATTAAGGCTAAAAGATGACGAGCAGAGCAGAAAGGGCGAAAGAGCTGCGAGTTTTCAAGTAATTTAATCGTCCGGATTTACACGAGGATTGAAAGAGTCGGCGCGTGTTTTTTTTCGACGAGTCGGATGAAGCCGGTGGGATGACGAGGAGGAAGAGGAGGAGGAAGAGGCAGGAAAGCGAACTCGAGCACGAGGAGGAGAAACGATCGCAAGCACTCGCTCGCGCGTGCCTCGAGGGCTTGTCACGCTCTTACAATAACACAATCTACATCAAAGCGCGCATTATATGCATAATAAATTGAAAAGCTCGTTTGTAATTACGGCGAGTTTTCCGCGCGTGCCACGATTATACTCGAGGATCATGCCGACATGTACGACTGCTATGATGATAAAGCTCTCATGAGAGCGCGTCTTCTTTCTCTCTCGCTTGCAAGCTTCATTGGTCAGGATCATATTTCTTAGCTGCTCTTCGAGTGTGCTTGCGCTCCGCATGTATAAGCTGCTTTACTTACGGATATAATAAAGCCAATTGGAAATTGTTTCCTGACTCGACTTTCGCTTTAGTTTGTCCAGGGAGTATCAAGATTCACGAGCCGTGTCCGCAAGTCGCCGCTGCCGACGACGCATAATTGACTAGGCATAATTGACTTGTGCGACCGACGAAACTATCAGCCATATACATTATACATATGTATAGATGATGATGTTGTTTGGACCGAAAGCTTAATAAGGCAAAAGAAATTAATAGATAATACAGGAGCGAAACTCGAGCTCGTCGGCCGGAGATAAGACGTCTATTTCTCCTTTCCGGCTCGGGGGGCGCGCGCGCGATTTATCGAAGCAGCTAAGTTAATTTGTACACGCTGCTGCGAGCGCCTATATACAGTTGCGCCAAGATTCGACGGGACGTGTGCGACAGTCTCATTTATTCGCGAGTCGCGCGAGCTTAATTCGGTCCACGAGATCGAAGCCGTATTAAGCTCTCTGGGAGCTTTCGAGCCGAGTTTCAGTCCCCGCGATAAACAGCTCGTAGATATACGTGCGCGCCGCCTTGAGCAGGTAATATCGCATGCGCGCAGATTGCAATAGTTTTGACATACCTTGCCATTACTCGAGATTTCTAATTGGAAAGGCACGTGACACTGGCGCGGGTCCCGCTCGCGTCTTTATACGTGCCCGTCTACCATCCACTCGCATATATACACGCGAGCTCGACTCGTCGTCGTCGTCGACGTCTCCGTGCGGGTGAATTATTCAAGGTGATGCCGAGAGCTATATATACGTATACGTATATACCTACGCAAAGTCGAGAAGGGCTAAATGATGGCGTTTGTGTATTTAAGCGCGCGCGGCAGCTTCTTCTTCTTCTACGCTCGCTCACTCGGCTCTCTGCTCTGCATATCTAACTATCTGCAAGCTCATACCTACCCTTGAGCTCGTCGTAAAACAAGACGCGTGTTTTTACCTTTCTCGATCTCGCTTTGCCCCGACGCGTTCCAACAGACGACGACGACGAATGCGAGCGAGAAAATCCCTTTGACTCTTCCCGATGACGCGAAAACCCATTAGCTCGAGGCCAAATCGTTTCGACCTATCCGACAATTATGTCGAGCGTATTTTTAAAAATTTTCTAATAAAAGCTGAAAAGCTCTCGCGCGCTCGCGAGCTCGAGCTCGTTCGAGAAGCAATAATTGGCCGGCGTAGCAAGCCAACCGAGAGGGGAGCTTGCAGACGTTATCGGAATCGACTTTACGGCCACTAGCGGCGAGAAAAATAGAAGGGAGGAAGGAGGATTTTATTCGGAGGATAAATTTGGAAATATCGAGTGTGTACAAGCTGTAGAGGGCAAAAAGCTCTCCGTCAGGACAATGGATTCAGTGGCGGCAATGGCAAAAGCTCTCTCTCTCTCTCCCTCCCTTCCTCCCTCCCAACCCGACGAGTTTTTATTGGCCAGAGGATGAGAGAGAAAAGTTGCGACGGTGGGAGGGTTACATCGATGGTAATTAGCGAAGGATTATTTTAAAAACTACCGTACCGATATAAACGCAGTGTATAGGTGCGCATATAAAGAGAAAGAGAGAAAGGATCGAAGACCGCGGCTGCTGCTGCTGTGCTTTTATTCGCATGCATTTAAAAAGTTTCGATCGTTTGTGTTTTTCCGCGAAAAATCCCCCCGGCTCGTATATAAGCTTCAAGAGCTCTCTAATGGCGAGAGAATTAATTTATTTTCCATACTAAGCTTCGGTAAAAAGTTGACTTTCATTTACGCTCGACGTATTCTCGAGAGAGAGCGAGAGAGTGAGTAGAGAATAGTAGAGTTCGGAAAATCTGCAAACGCAAGGGAAATGGCCGAAAAGGTAAAGAAAAACGACGTTGCGAGTCTCGCACATGTATGCCACACACACAGGCAAAAAATCGAGGAAAAAGGGAAAAAGCTGCGGCTGTATCAATGCCGGGAGCTCGCAACGTCGCTCTCTTTTCTCTCGTTGGAGCTGTGTGTAGTACGTCGTAACGTCGCGCAGTCACTCTCACACCCTCCCCGAGCGAGCCCCGAACAGCCAAAACGACTGAATAGTCGTAGGGTTGTTGGACAGGCAGTGGCAGCAGTGGCTGAGGCTAGATGATCGGTCCTCCCGCTTTGGCTCTCTCTCTCTCTCTCTCTCTCGACGTGTGGATACATATTGTGTGTGAATGGCTCGAGTCGAGCGTCGCTTTTATACGCCTCAACGGCCACGTCTTTCGGCGCGATCTTTGTGCCAGATACATGCGAACATGGTCGAGCTCGCGCACTTCAATGAAGCTCCCGCGCGCATATACGTTTTTTTTTATCCGCAAGGTAGTTTTCGCGAAATGTATATACGCCCGCGCGCTCGCACGTCGCGATGCATTATTAGGACAGCGCAATTTTCCTTTGCTTTGATTAATTTTCCTGCGTGCTGCCGAGCTTCTACAGATATAGTATATAGCAGCTCCCCGCCGGCTTTTTGATTAACGCTAAAATACGCGTAGGACGTGGTACGCGCGTATACGTGCCGCCTATATATACCTATGTGCTTCGCAGCTCCTGTATAGAGATTTCACGATAACACGTAGCTTCAGTTTCTCTTCCTTTTGTCAGAGCTCGACTCTTTGAATTCGATATGTTTGCCGATTGGCGCCCTGTGCGGCCACGTACGTATATCTGTACAGCGCATTTCATTCGCTACCACTGCCTCTGCCGCCTACACGTTGCGTTACGTGCGATTTTTTTCCGCGCTCGGGCCGATGCCGACAACAAAAAAATGTTTGTATCATTTGCAGAGCAAAGGAAGAAAGATTGAATAAAAATGACGATTACGAAATATACATCCGCGAGTTTACGCGCGCGTCTCATTCAATGAAGTGAGTAGAAGCAGAAGTTAGCTCGGTATATAGCTCGCTACTATACTATACTCCCTGTGCTAGGGACTTAAGGTAGAGCACGCGCCGCGCCAGCCACGCCAAGTTTCAATTGGCTGCATAAATTAGAGCTCGAGGATATAATTTTCCACCTGCATTATCCGAGGGCTTTATTTTATTGAACTCTGGCTCGAGCTTCGTTTCGCTCTCGAGAGTCTGCTGCTGCCTCCTGGTATTTATATGTGTATATCGATCCTCGCCAGACGCTGCGTATTCTTCGTTTCGTCTTCTTTTTTGTTTTCAAGCAGCTCGGTTTACTCGAGTTAATGCGATAAACGTATAGCGATTTTATGCCGCGCACGGCTACGTGTATATATTATATGCATTCGGCGGCGCGCGGAGCAGTGTATTTTCCGAAAATCTCTTATCTGCATAATTGGCGCACACTCGGGCGCGCATTATATTGCATTGTGCTGCTGCTGTTGCTGCTGCTACGAAGCTGCGCGCTGGTATTTTCCAACTCGAGGCGCCCGGTTGTATCGCGTATACCGCATTCACCTTGCCAGACAATCAAAATTAAACGAGCATCAATCCAGCCGCTATGAAAACGCACCTCATTCCCCGTGCACGCTCTTCGTTTATTCCATTCGAGAGCTTTATACTTGTATAAGCGTGAGTTCATCGGGCGCTTCTTCTCGCTGCGGAGCAGAGATAGTCGGTGTAGGGAGGAAATTTCTTTTTTCAAGGCCGACTCTAGGCGCATCTACATATTTGATTTTTCGGACGAGATAATTCGGCACGAGGCGGTCAGCGAGCGAGGACGAGAACGAGAACGAGAACGCAGGAGAGAGAAGCAGGAAGGGATCGATGAAAAGTCGGGCGCTAAACCAGACAAAATCCCATGTCCGGACAAAGGACTTTTAATCTCGGCTCGAGGGGTAATTATAGTCTCCGATTGCCCAAAGGATTATCTTTCTCTTGCCTCGCTCTCTCCTCTCTCTGGTATTGTGTTTTCCGTTCTCTTTCTCTCTCGGATCGTCGTGGCGGGTTGCGCGTCGGCGTAGTGCGCTTGATTAGTCTTTGTATAGATAGGCGTGTATTCGGCAGTCAGGCGCGAATGTATACACTTCTTGGTCTGCGTTGCGCGCGTGCAGTAGTACATAGCGGTGGAGGAGACAAGACTAGGGCTTGTCGCGCTGCAAGAGGGACACACGCGCGTTTCCTCGAAATTTACGAACGGCGCGGCAGCGGCTCGGACCGATTTATATGAAGTTTATGCAGCGTGCAAAGGCCTCGTATAGGTGCGCGTGTATAGGTATACCCGGCGATATGCACAGTGTTGGTGGTAGTATTCGTCGTAGTAGTAGCTGCTGCGATCGCAATGGTAAACGAGCTAAATGGCTCGAGGGGTAGCTAGGCTACACTAGTCGAGCTCCGAGTCGAGTAGTCCGTCGACAGGGAGATTTTGGCATTGCATCTAATTACGCGTCGGTGATTTATAGGCCAGCAGAGCCGATTTCACGTGTAACTGCACAAAAGGCCGACGTCTCCTCCAATGGCTGTGCG